TTTTCGCTAATTATCCTCCGGATGAAAATGTTTTCTGCGATGGAGCATGTCTCCTGAATTTTCTTTTAAAATAAACTGTAAGAAATTGATTTATGCCAAGCTATTTCCTGTAGTCACTTAAAGTACGACTAAAATATGTTTGGATGTCCGAATTAAACTACTACAAAGAAATAATAACATTGAAAAGCGTTTATTTGGTTTATGGAAAAATTTTAATTAGAATAGAATAGAATAGAATATTCTTTATTAATCCCATCTGATCACATTGTGATATAGGACAAGTCATATAGTACATAAAGCATAATCAACAAAAGTTATATAGGACAATTACATAAAACAAAATCAATAAAATGTAGATTAATATAAAAAAAGATATGCAAATATAGAGCGTCTCTGAACCCGTCGGTCCTCATTCCCTGTAGTCTTTTATTAAGTCAAAATAATCATTTAGGTTGTAAACGCATAATTGGATCAAGCATGCTTTTAATTTATTTTTGAATTTTTGAATATTATTTTATTTCTTATATTAAGTGGCAAACAATTGTAAAATTTAGATCCTGCAAAATCAGGACTAGTTTCAAAGAGAGTTGTGGAGTGTTTACACACGCTTATCAACCTCCCGTGTCTTGTCGGGTAATTATGAAAGTCAGAGTTGAGGGTAAAATTTTGAAATTTAGTTTTGACGTGAATAATACACTTATAAATATATAAAGCATGAAAAGTCAACAGCCTGTGTTCAATAAAATATTTACGACATGATTGTCTATTATCAATATTGAATACCAATCTAAGAATTCTCTTTTGAGTTATAAAAACTCTAGAAGAGTTTCTAGAGTTTCCCCACAAGACAACATTATAGGCCATATATGAATAAACCAATGCATAATACACACTTATCAATTGATTGGTGTTAAATAGAGTTTTCAACTGAAGGATCCCATAGTAACCCTTATTCATTGTTTTGCAGACTTTAGTGACATTTTCATCCCATGTCATATTACTTTCTAGAATGCTACCAAGAAATAATGTTGTATCACTAAAAGGTATTTCCTCAGAACTAACTGTGATTTTATAACCATGGGATGGCTTACATCGCGAGTAGAACTGCATACAAATAGTTTTCTTTGCATTTACCATTAAAGAGTTCCTTTTACACCAGGTTGTAAATTCCTGTGCTACTAAGTTCATTTTTGATATGAGTTCGACTTCAGTTGACTGTCAACTACAATTGTTGAATCATCTGCATAAAAAACTGTATGGTCTCCAGTTAAAAAATTTATCAAATCATTGACATATAAAAGTAATATTAAGGGTCCCAATACGGAGCCTTGCGGTACACCTTGATCAAGATTAAAAACAGATGACTTCTTATTATCGACTTTTACTAGGAATTTACGATGTTGTAAGTATGACCTTAACCAGTTCAAGAAATGACCCCGAAAACCAAGGGCTTCTAATTTATGCAGTATAATTTAATGTCAATAGAGTCAAAAGCCTTAGTTAAGTCAAAAAAGAGTGCACCCACATACCTTTTTCGATCCAAAGCAGCGTGGATATAATTAAATAATGAAATAGAAGCACTCTCTGTAGATTTATTAGGAAGAAACCCATGCTGGCATTTATTTAAGATATCATATTTATTCAGAAAATTTAACATTTTACTGTAAATACACTTTTCGATAATCTTAGAGAGTACACTTGTTACGGTGATTGGCCTGTAATTATCAACCAAACATGGATCTCCCTTTTTGAAAATTGGACTAACTACTCCCGTTTTAAGGTCACTTGGAAACTTGCCATCCTTGACAGATAGGTTGATGATGTGAGACAGAACAGGAGATATATATGAAGAAATGTATTTAATTATTTTAGTGGGGATTTGATCAATACCTACTGAGCTGGTATAGTTTAAGGAAGATATAGATAATTAAGTAAAACCTTCTTCTCAAGTGCCGTCTTCGTTCCGAAGTTTGGCTATCATCAACGCTATGCGTATTTTTGATGCTGCAGATCTAAACAGTTGGTAATTGGTGCAATTGTACATTCTCTCAAGTTTTTCAACCATGAATGCCTTCTTCTTCCTATAGATCTCTTTCCCATTATCTTTCCCTGTATAATCAATTGCAGCAACTGGTATTTATCTCCCCTCATAACATGTCCCAAATATTGTAGTTTGCGCTTTTTAACAGTAAGTATCAGCTCTTTCTCTTTCCGCACTCTCCGCAAAACCTCCACATTTGTTACTTTCTCTGTCAGGGTATTCTTAATATTCTACGATACATCAACAACTCAAATGCTTCTATCTTTTTGGTATCGATCTTTTCAATGTCCATGTTTCCATCCCGTAGAGGAGAACTGACATAACGTAACATCTCAAAAGGCGAATTTTAAGTTTTAGACTTAGATCTCTTCCGCAGAACACCTTTTTCAATTTAGTAAATGTGGCTCTAGCTTTCTCTATTCTGGTTCTGATTTCTTCAGAGCAATCATTATTTTCGTTGATAACAGTTCCCAGGTAATTATAATCTTCTTACACGTTCGATTCTTTGATCATGCACGGTTATGTTAGGGAAGTTTTGTGGTGATTTAGATATTAGCATTATTTTTGTTTTGCTTATGTTAAGTGATAATCCGTGTTCTTCACTGCATTCTACTATTTTGTTAATTAGTATTGAAGATCTTCCAAGTTTCTGCGATTAGTACCGTGTCATCGGCATATCTCAAGTTGTTTATTCGGATGCCATTTATCTTAATAACTAAAGTAAAGTAAAACCTGAAAATGTCAAATTTATTGTAATTACTATTTAAATGGGAATAAGCCACAATTAAAGGACAAATACGTTTATTGACGTTTCAATTTCCACTTCGGAAATCGTTCTCACAATACCAAAATAAAATAAAATAATTGTCGAAATTTGATCAAAACCTAACTAAAAACCAAATAATTCTCGGTTAGACAGTTTATCACATTTACATTATTTGCAGTACTCGTGCTGTTAATATTTCCTTCTCAATCCATTATATTTTTTTATTATTTCCGTCATTTGTTTAACCTAATATACAAGCACAACACAACTGCATCCGAATGCAGACAAAAACATCCACTTAAAATGATAATAAAGCCAATACTCATAAGGACGTTAAGCGAGGTAATGAAAATATAAAATTGCACAAAAACTAACGTTGAAAGGAAACGACCATAAAAAGACACGCGAGAGTTAGCACAAGAGGCACTCGTAGAGGTTTTTTTGTTAACATTTAACAAACTTTATTTCCGTAGGTTTTTAAAAACAATACGAAGTCAAGAGCCTGAACATATGCACTTGCTGCTTCGCAATTAAAAATTTATTTGATGTTCGCCAACCAAAATAACTTTCGGGAAAGCTTTTAATTTGGATAGACGAAACTAATTTGGAGTTTAAAAAATCTAGGAGTGGTGGCTAAATGATTTCGTTCAAGGTTGTAGAGCTACGGTGGATTTGTATGAGAATTAGTTTAACTAAAAAATATATGATCAAAAGGTAACAGAAAGTTCGGAAATACGCTGAATTTTGCCAAAAATGTAAATTTTAGGAGGCTAAAAAAATGCAAAAAGTTACCACTTTTTACCCTCGGGCTTTCCCCTAAAACGATTTATCAAGAATCTTCTTTTTCTTCTTCTTCCTCTTTATAATCAATTCTGCTTATTCATTGGCGGATTAATGCCTCCATCTTTTGAGCGATCGTCCAATACATCTGCCGATTGGTGAGTTATCTCTTGCTATTTTGACGGCACGTCTCCTCCACCACTATGGGTTTTTCATTATTTTTTTCTGTTTTGTGTCCATTCATTTATACACTGTACGTTACATTTTCTTCTAATGTCTTCACTTCTCTTTCAGTCTCTCAGCGTATTTCCTGTAATTCTTCTCAGTACTCTCATCTCACAAGTTTCCAGTAGTTTTTTCGTTGCGACTGTGTCGGAATATGTCATTATTGGTCTTACACTTTCTTTATAAATTCTTGACTTCATCACAGTGTTAATATGTCTGTTTCGCCATTTAGTGTTATTAAGGCATCCTGCCAGTCTATTTGCTTTTTGTACTTGATCTCTCACTTCATTATCCATTCCTATTTTACATCTGGTAGGTTCTTTGCTGACTACTATTGTTTTAGTTTTCTGAGATGAGATTGTCATATTAAATTCTTTTGCTCTTATGTTAAATCTGTGGACCAGTCTTTGCAGACTATCTTCATCTTGGGATATCAATCTTGCGTGATCTGCGTAACAGAATATTTTTATTTCTTTGTTTCCCATTCTGTATCCTCTTCCTTTGTTAACGCTTTTGATGATTACATCCATAATCAAATTGAAGAGCATGGGGCTCAATGAATCCCCTTGTCTTATTCCGCTGCCTATTTCTATAAGTTCTGTAAGTTTTTCACCTATTCTGACTTCCATTTTGTTGTTTTGGTAGATGTTTTCGATAGTTTTTATAATATTTATGGGAACTTCTCTATTATATAGAAGATGGATGACATCTTTGAGTCTTACTCTGTCAAACGCTTTCTTTAGGTCAATCAGACACAGAAATGCTGATCTATAGTGATTTCTCAGAAATTTGCTTTATAACGAATTTTGCATCTGCACACGATCTTCCAAGAGACTCTTGCGCAAGAGATATTATTGATTATGGTAATCGGAGACCAAAATTCGGCAGGGGAGGACAACCATCAGAACGCAAAGCCTCCTGGTCATTAACATGCGAAACAATTGCACAAAAAAACAAAAAAAAAACTCAACCCTCTCAGATAAAAATAGTTACCAGGAATGTAAGAAGTATGTATCAGCCTGGAAAACTACATTGGCTAAATATAGATATACTTGGGGTTAGCGATGTACAATGGTCAAGAAATGGAGAGATATCAATAAATAACCACATAGAGGAGACAACACTGATCATCGATACAGAGTAACTTTCATCATAAGCAACAATATTAGAAAATTAGTACTATATGTGATTCAAATCTCAGAAAAAATAATAATGCTAAAAATTTAAGCACATAACTGTAATATTAATATGATCCAAGTCTATGCTCACACAGCTGATAAGACCGAGGAAGAGATCGAAAAGTTTCTTTCAGAATTGCACAATACAATCAAGTTAACAAAATCTAGAGATATAATTTACATTTTAGGAGACTTTAGTGCAAAAATTGGTGTAGGTACAGTTGAAAATATAGTTGGACAGTTCGGATTAGGAAATAGAAACAAGAGAGGAGAAAGACCATAGAATTCTGCCAAGAAAAGAATATGGTAATTGCCAATACTTGGTATCAGTTTAGTAAGAGAAGACTATATATGGACGTCTCCTTCACATACAGAAAACCATATTGTCAGAAACCAGACATACGACAGATCTTATGACCTCAGTTAAAATTTATCCTGGAGCAGATGTTAACTCAGACACAATCCGTTAGTTGCTGACGTGAAAATAAAATTAAAAAGAATTAAACTCAGAAAACAACAACCAAAAATTAATGTAAGAATGCCAAAAACCAAATAAATAAAAAACGAATTAAAAAATAATGTGAATGTTAATATGCAAAAAACACTAATTGACAACAAAAATTATGGATGTAAATAAAAAGTGGTATAATATAAAAAACACATTACTGAAACCAGCTCAAGAAAGTTTGATACAACATAGGTCAGAGGCTAAAAAAACAGTGGATGACAGAAGAAATACTATTACTGATGGAAGAAAGAAGGAAATATAAAGGAAAAGATCTACAGAAGTATAAAGAAATACAACGAATAATTAAGGAAAAAATCAAAACAGCTAAGGAAATCTATTTGATGAAACAATATAAAGAGATAAAAGAACTAGAAACAAAATATATGATATGAGAAATATGCACAAAAAAATAAGAAATGTGACTGGAATGGGTCGAAATAGACAGCAAGGACACATAAAAGACAAAAAAGGAGTACTACTAATAGAGTTACCAAAGAAATTAAGACGATGGGAGGAGTACGTTAGAGAACTTTTCCAAGATGAAAGAGGTGAAATGCAGAAAATACAAGAATTAAATCCTTTAGAGAGACAGAAGATCACGATAGATGAAATCAAATATGCTATCAAAAACTCTAAAGACAATAAGGCAGCTGGATTAGATGAAATACCAGTAGAACTGTTAAAACTAGTGGAAGAGGATAACTTGGAAGTAATTGCAGATTTATTCAACACGGTGTATGATACGGGAATAATACCACAAGAGTGGCTGAAGTCAGCATTTATAACCATCCCTAAAAAAAAGCAGTAAAAGAGTGCTCTACATATCGAACACTGAGGCTCATGAATCATACTTTAAAAGAACTGCTGAAAGTAATACAAAAGAGAATATACGAAAGGTTAATTATATCAAATCGGGAGTTACTGTGAACGAAAAATTAATTGAACTTTGAAAATTAAGGCAAATATCGAGCACAAGTTTAATCAAATCTTGCCCAAGTACTTTCGCTTAATATAGCATCTTCAAGGGCATCTGAAAAGAGCCACAAAAACGTTTTTTAGATGAAGGAAATTAATTAACTTCGATAAAAAATTCTAGCAAGCGTAGAATGTGATAAACATTAATGTTATCATGAAAAATTAATTAACAACTTACGATATGCAGACGACACTGTGATCATAGCAACGAGTATAGAAGATCTACAACATCTTATCGAAAGCTTAAGTATGAATAGTGCTGAGATGGGAATTACTATAAACACTAAAAAGACGAAGTATGCTAATGCATGTTAATTACAAAAAGACCACAAAATATACATCAACTATTGACAATCAATGGTAACGTGATAAAACAAGTAGAAAAATATCAGTACTTGGGAACTTTGATCAATGAAACCAATGATCATACTGCAGAAATAAACAGGCGAATAGAGATAGCCAGATCAGCATTAATACGAATGAAGCCACTCCTAACGTGCAAAAATCTAAATTTGGAGATCAGACTAAGTACCATTCGCTGTTATATATTTTCAATATTATTATATGGAGCTGAGACTTGGACATTAAAAAAATGCATTTTAAAAAGAATCGAGGCTTTCGAACTCTGGTTATACCGCAGAGTATTAAAAATATCATGGACTGATAGAATTACAAATAAAGAAGTACTGGAGAGGGTTGGTAAAGAAACAAAACTAATCACCACTATACAAACCAGAAAACTGGAATACATAGGTCACGTGATGAGGGGACCAAAATATGAAATTTTGAGACTCATAATACAAGGAAAGATTCAAGGAAGAAGATCTGTTGGCCGAAGGCAGAACTCATGGTTGAAGAATCTACGTGATTGGTATCAATGCAAATCGATTGATTTGTTTAGAGCAGCAAGTTCAAAAATAAAAATAGCCATTATGATTGACAACCTCCGTAGGGAGACGGCACTTTAAGAAGAAGAAGACACGATCTTCCACTACGAAAACCCTGTTGTTCATCTGCTAAACTTATCCTCTAATTTATTAGCACATTGTAAAATTTTAGTCGTAAGTTTAGGCGTAGAATTAGTCTCGTTCTCCAGTCTTCCGGTATTTTATTGTTTTATAATTTTATTAATTAATGTTGTTAATTGTTCTTAAAACCAAGAATCTTAAAAGTGTAAAATTGTAAATACAAGGGGTCTTGCATAAATTTTGAAACTATGTGAATAATTTTCTTAAATCACGTAAATTTATACACAGGACCTTTATATTGGGATAAAGCCTATATATTTAACAAAACTAAAACCAGAAAATATAAAATAGTTCAATTATAATAAGGCAAGTCGAGGAGTTGAGAAGTCAGGCACGTGGATACTGATTCGTGAATAGACAAAGATGCATTTCCATCTCGTCAAATGCAGGCGTGACCTACATCTCAGTTAATTGGCAGTTGATTGATACTGTGTGTCCGATCTAACAAATAAGGAAGAAATACTAATTAATCCGAACTCAGATAAAAATCCGACGGCGGGATCTCACATTAATAACAATCGAATGATTGATGCAGCAACGGTGGCTTTCATAGAGACCGGAACGGTATTGGTCTTGTACAATAATGCGCAACCTGATTCTTCTAATTGAAACACCGATACCATGCTATCGAGGAATTTCTCAACAGTTATCAGCAACTCGAACTTCGTCGAAGAGGATTTCTCGGTCCTTTTATATAGTGTAATAGAGATGGGCGCTATTGAAGTTCACTAAACTGTTCCATACAGTGTGTAGCAAACAACTGTAATATATTCGAGCACAAATACAAGACAATTAGAAACGAAACACATAAACTAAGATCATTTGGAACGCTTTTCGAAAGAACAGAGGTAAATGAACTAATAGAACCAAAACACCTAGAAAAGGATACGTGTTTTGACTAGCTAAAAAAGCTCTATGCAGAGGAAGAACAAAACGACGAAAAGTGGTTCAATCAGAGGATAAGTTTAGCAGATGAACAACGGTTTTCGTAGTGGAAGATCGTGTATAGATACAATATTCGTTATAAAGCACTCACTTTTTTAGATTGTGCTTTCTCAGATTATTACTTGTTTGTTACGTATTATTACTTGTTTTATCGATTTTGAAAAAGCGTTTGACAGAGTACGCCATGATAAGCTTAGAGAGATTCTTGAAAGGAAGGACATAGATAATAAAGATCTGCGAATAATTCTCAATCATATTGGAATCAGAAAGCTAACATCAAAATAGAAACTGAAACATCACAAGCAATAGAAATACGTAGAGGAGTACGACAGGGTTGCATTTTGTCACCTCTGTTATTTAATGTATATAGTGAAAGCATCTGTCAGGAAGCCCTTTTACAAGCAAACGGAGGAATCGTAATTAATGGAGAGATTGTAAATAATATTCGATACGCGGACGACACTATACTAGTTGCAAGAACAGTAGAAGAATTACAAAGATTACTTACAGACATAAATATTGGTTGCAACAATTATGGTATAAATATCAATATTAAAAAAACCAAGTATATGGTCTTCAGTAAAAACATGACACAACCAGCGTATATTAGTATAAACGGCACTCAAGTTGAAAAAGTATCAAGTTACAAATACTTGGGAACTTTAATAAACGAAACTGGAGACCAAAACAGTGAAATAAAAAGACGTATCGAAATTGCCAGGGCCACCTTCATAAAGATGAGAAAATTCTTCTGCAAGAGAAATATAAGCATCCCTCTACGATTAAGAATGCTGAGAGGCTATGTATTTAACACGCTATTATACGGTGTAGAGGCCTGGACTCTCAAACAGAACAACATGAAAAATATTGAAAGTTTCGAGATGTGGTGCTACCGTCGAATGCTGAAGATTAGTTGGGTTGAAAGAATAACAAACTGTGAAGTAATACGAAGAATAGGAAAAGACCCAGAGATTTTGTTAACGCTAAAGCGAAGAAAACTCGAATATTTTGGTCACCTGATGAGAGGACATAAATACGCATTACTTCAAAATATAATGCAGGGAAAAATAGAAGGAAAACGGAATCCAGGCCGTAGAAGAATGTCATGGTTGCGGAATTTGAGAGAGTGGTTTGGCTGCACCACTAATGAACTCTTTAGGTCAGCCGTAAACAATGTCAGAATAGCCTTGATGATTTCCAATCTCCGATAGGAGTGGCACAAAAGAAGAAGAAGATTATTACTCTACTCGGTAGCCGGTTTACGGGTTTCCACATAAAGAAAGGAAGTTTGATCCTGCAGGTAATTCTTGCTTATAGTCGAGTAGAGGTTGCGGATCGTGGCAGCTCCAAAGTTCTTTCTTCCGTTCGCTTCGCTCTGGGTTGTTCGGCGTGATTACGCAGGAGGTAACGGTGATCTTTGATTTGTTTGATTTTCTCAGCACCTGCGGTACAACTCTTCTGATCTTAGCTGGAGCTATTCTTGATATGGACCACATATTGGGGACTGGTGTAGGTTTGAAGCACCCTGTAATGTTTCGACCCATCTCATTTATGGTTAAGACCCAATCTAGAGCCACGTACTCGGCTGCAGAGCAGCTTGGTGCAACGGAAGGACATGTGGATGAGCACCCCAATTGTACTTGACGGTTTCTTCAGGATATCTTGTGTTATGACAATGGTGTCTGCATGTGAGGAATGTGTCAGTGTTAGTCGTTTGAATTTCATTAACTGCATATGAGAGAAAAATTGTTCATTAAACAGAAATGCACAAAATAACAACTCTACAGATAATTGGTAACGGAGATAACACACGAACTTATAGAGACAACTTTAGATAATTCCCTTATATTCCAAGGGACCAATAGTCCCTCTAGCTTGGACATGCAAGACAGATAAAAAACCAGCTGCCAACGCAATATGATAAATGATTATAGTGCTGGAATTTGAAGAAAATCCACATACTTCTTGTCGAAAAGCAGTTCCAATGTTAGACGTTACTCATTCATCGATTATTCGAACACTAAAAGAAAACAAAATACATTAATTTACAACGATACCAACTCAGGAGCT